AGCTTTCCTATATATCTTATGTTCAAGATCTTTATGAGAAATATTTGATACAGATTTTTTCCCAATTGACAGTTTCCCTCCTTATTCTAGCTCTAAAAATGTTGTTTGTGTAGGAATTTTTAAACTCCATATAATAAAAAAAGTAACTATGCAAGAAATTTCATTAAATATTCATTCCCTTTGAACCATTGATCCCACAAGCTAGCTTATACCCCAGGAAGATCAATAACAAAAAGAATGGTCCTACATATAGCAACATATTCATAGGAACCTTTTCAGATAAAAAAATTAGAACAAAACAAAACATGGGTATTGATGGGGAAATAGTTGAACAAGCACCTACTGTGTACCTAACTTTGTATTAGATACTGGGGATAAAAATACAAAAATGAGACAGTTTCTGCGTTCAGAAAGTTTGTATTTTATTGGGAGCAGGGGAATAGAATGCAAAACATTCTGTGATAAGAAGAGAATGTGCGTACAAAATAAATACTCAGTGATAGGGTGGAGAGAGCTGGCAGCAACAACTGGGGAAGCAGGAAAGACTTTTTTAAGGAAGTGACCTGCATTTTAAAGGGAGCTAAGGTTCCAAAGAGAAGAGAATTACAGCATGGAGGCCAGAGGTGGAACATTATGCATGGTAAACAGCAAATAGGACAGTTTGTCTGGATCACAGAGTGAATAAGGATAGGTAGTGTGTAATCAGCCTGGAGGGATATGCAGAAGCCAAATGATGGGGTCTGTATTTTAAACCTATAGGCAATGAGGAACCACTGAATGAAGCTTCTTAAATAGAGGCAAGACCTGGTCAGAATGGTGCTTTAGGAATATCAGCTTGGTAGCTGTGAGGAGGATCAATTGGAAAGGACAGAGTCAAATGCAAAGAGACCAGTTGGGAGGACATTGCAGGAGTTCTGATGAGAGGTGATGAAAGCCTGGACTAGGGAAGGCATGCCGTGAGGAGAGGCATGGATATGAGAGCCGCTGAGGGGAGTAGAATAAACAAGATTTGGCAACAGATATGGAAAGGGGAGTGTGAGAGTGAAGAGCTGAGGCTGACTTAAGGTAGAGAACCTGGGTGTCTGTAAGAATAGGCGTACTCTTGACAGAAATAGAGAAGTTAGGAGGAGGGGTAGGTTTTGGGAGGAAGATAATGATTTCTGTTTTGGACATTTTAAGTTTGAGATACTTATGGAATCTCCAGGCAAATATATCCAGTAGGCAGTCAGAGAAGATGACAGATAGGAAGATGTATATGATGTTGCAAAGAGCATAGAATATAGGAGCAAAAGAACACTATAGAAAATGACTACAATAGTGCAAACGAAAACAAATGGCAGCTGAACCTGGATGAAGTGCACTGACCAATTTCAGACCTAGACGACAGAAGATGAAACACATCCCTCCTTGGTATAAATTGTTGCATATATTGTCAGATGCAGTTGATTTGTCAGTCGGTTTTGCTTAACTTTTTCTTTGTTACAGGGAGGGTTCAGGGGTGGTACTATCAAATCATTTAATCAGTCAACAAGCACTCTGCTGAGCCCTGAGATTACAACCAAAGGCAAAAACACACCTTTTCTTCAAGTAGCTCACGGTCTAATGGAGGAGAAAATTTGCAGACACCTATGTATAAGCAAGATGTTTGTAGGATAAATTGGAGATAATTGACACATTAGCATTAAGAGGGACTGAGACTTCTTGCAGCAGAGATTTGATTTTAGCAGAGACTTGAAAGAAGCCAAGGGAGCCAGGAGGCAGAGTTAAGCAAGGAGAGAATTCCAGGCATTTTCCAAGGAAATTGTATAGAGTCAGGAGATGGAATGTTTTATATGAGGAACAAGGAGGCCCCTGTCATTGGATCATAGAGTATGTGGAGGGGGAAGTAAAGTGTGATAAGATTGGAAATGTAAGAAGAAAGGGAAGGAGGGAGGAAACAAGCATTTAATAAGTACCTACTATGTGCCAGGCACTATGCTAGGAGCTTTACAATTATTGTCCCATTTGATCTTCACCACAACCCTGGAAGCAGGTTCTGTTATTTCCACATTTGAGTTGAGGAAACTGAGGCAAAAAACAGGTTAAGTGACTTGTCCAGGATCACACAACTAGGAAGTGTCTGAGGCTGGATTTGAACTCAGGACTTCCTGACTACAGGTCCAGTACTGTATCCATTGCACTTAAGGGCTTTAAAAGCCAATCCAATGATTTTGTATTTGATTCTGGAGCTAATGAGGAGCCTCTAAAGTTTATTGAGTGACAGTCAGGTCTGAAATTTAGGAAGATCACTTTGATACCTGAGCGGAGGATAGCTTTGAGTGGGGTGAGACAAGGCAGAAAGACTAACCTGAAGGCTACTGCAGTAATCCCAGTGTGCGGTGATGAGAGCCAGCATTAAAATGATGGTAGTGTCTGAGGAGAGGCGATATTGCAAAGGGAGAAGCTGACAGGACTTGGCAACTATGTGAGTGTAGGGTCTGAGAAAGAGAGAGAGAAGAAGAGAGAAGAGAAGAGGCACCTGGCTGCAGTTCCCTTCCCTGCCACCATGTGTCTGTGAGCACATGGCACCTCTGTAGTTGAGTGTTCCTTCCTGATTTTGAATAAAAGAAGATTCTGAATGGGAAGTGCTCAGGTGTGAGTTGGGGAAATCCTGAGATCTCATCATAGATCTCACCAGTGACTAGAATCAGTGGAAGAGTCCAGCAGAGTTGGTAGCAGTAGCCACCAGAGTTGGGAGGTGACCAAGCAGCAACCTTCAGCTAGACATGCCCAAGAAATGATCTTATGAGCCATTTCCTTCAGCCAATTCTCAAATTTCATGGTCTCCCTTTAGTCAAAAGCAAGCCTTGTAGCAAGTCATAAAAGACTACAAAGTCAGCCCTAGTCTAGACTTTTTAAAAAAAAAAATTGTCTGGCTTTTCCCAGGGTTGTCTTGGATTGAACTTTTGAAAAATCCCACTGTACAGGCTTCATGAAGTCTACAGAAACAAAGATACCAAAGTTAGTTATGTCCTGAATTTTCCATGTAAAATTTTTACCTTCCTGGACTACATATGGAATCTTCTGGAGAACAGGTTTACATTCACTTAAGTAGGGTCATTCTCAGTACTTACAATACTATAAAATCTCACATCAATAAGAAGCAGCCTTCTTTTTTTTTTTGCCAGGGGCTGTATATACTCCATTTAATCACTAACCATAGACATAAAATTTAAAACTCCAAGATGAGATCATTTGAATAGGCTACAACAGTTTGGTTATATTTCTACAAATCACTAAATGTATCACTTAAATACGGTATAAATAGTCTATGTTGTGTTTTTTAAAAATAAATTTTTGTTGATATCTTTTGTTATTACATTGCTTAAATCTCTCCCCTCCCCTTACCAGAGAGCCATCTGATATAACAAATAATATGTTTTAAAGAAAAAAGAAGAAAATCAGCAAAAATGATCAATACATTGAAAAAGTCTAAAAATATCTACAGTATTCCAACCCTATGTATCTCCCACCTCTGCAAAGAAATTGGAGAATGTCTTTTCTCATATTTCTTCTTTGAGGTCATGCTTATTCTTGTAATTCTGCACCATTCACTCTCCACTGTTCTGTGGTGGTGGTTCTTTCTGTTTATGTTGTTGTAGTCACTGTGTATATTGTTTTCTTGGCCTGCTTCATTCTGTATCAGTTCACATGAGACTTCTCTGAATTCATCATATTTCCTAGGGGCAGCTAGGTGGTACAGTGGATAGAACACTAGGGTTTGGAATCAGGAAGACTCATCTTCCTGAGTTCAAATCTGGCCTCAGATGCTTACTGGCTGTGTGACCCCAGGCAAGTCATTTCACCTTGTTTGCTTCAATTCTTCATCTGTAAAATGATCTGGAGAGAGAAATGGCAAACTGCTCCAGTACCATTGCCAAGAAAACCCCAAAATGCAGTCACAGAGGGTTGGACAGGACTAAACAAGAACAACAATACAGGTTTTTGAGCCACTCCTCAGTTGATGAGCATCTACTTGTTACCGGATCTTTGCTACCAAAAAAAAGTGCTCCTATAAATATTTTGGGGTATATGAGGACTTTCTTATCATCGTCTTTCTTGGGCTTAAAGCCTACCAATGGAATCTTTGGGTCAAGGGGTATGAACATTTTAGTCACTCTATTTGCTAATTACTAATTGTTTTTTTAAAATAGTTGTACCAGTTTATAACTCTACCAACAAAGAACTAGTGTGCCTCTCTTTCCACATACCCCCAACATCAACTATTTCCATTTTTTGCTATCTTTGCCAATTTGCTGGGTGTGAGGTGAAACCTCAGATTTGTTTTGATTTATACTTGTTTTATTAGTGATTAGGAACATTCTTTCATGTGGTTGTTAATAGTTATTAATGGGTTTTTTTGAGAACTGTTTCTTCATATTCTTTGACTATCTATTAAGAAATGGCTTTGGATGACATATGTATACACAGGTATACACAGGTACACAAACATATATTATAGATAATCGTTAGTTGTCGATATATCTGGATACCAAATTATTATCTGAGAAATATGACACAAAGATTTTTTTCCCATTCAGCTGCTTCACTTCTTAACCTAGATGCATTAATTTTGCTTGTGTAGAAGCGTTTCAATTTCGTGTCATCACTTCTGATTACACATAATCAGTAATGATTACATGAAATTGTAAAGCTTCCATTCTAAACCGAACAAGGGGTAGAGGCAATTACAAAAAATGAAATTAATTAATAATTGCTGCTAGCTCTTGTTTGGTTAAGAATACATCTCCCTGGCGTTGAGGAGGGAGAGCATTCCAGGCATGGGGGACAGCTAGAAAGAAGGCCCAGAACCAAAATATACAGTGTCTTGTTTGTGTAACAGCCAGGAGGCCTGTTTCACTGGATTGAAAAGTATGTGTCAGGGCGTAAGGTATAAGAAGACTGAAAAGTTTTGATAATTATGGAATCCCCTAACACACACCTTTACCCTTTCTTTTAAGGAGAAATACTTAGTGGAGATGAAGCCTTCTGATCAGGATACAAGTCTTTGACCCATTGCCTTCAAGAGACAGTGTAGCAGAGACTTCCAGGTCATGTTACAAATAAGATGAAGGACTAAACATTTCCTCCAGTCCTCAGGAACTCAAAACTCTCCCAGATAAGAATTATGTGCAAAGGTAAAGTAAATACAGCTGTCTTCGCATGCCAAGATACCGAGAAATATACATCAGAGAAAGATAATACCCAATCCCAAAAGTGTTCATGCAGCATCTCTCCTGACCAGCCTGAATATTCTAGCAGGCTAGAACAACTGTTTGTCCCATTGGCTTGTACTCTGAAACGTACTCAACAATATTCTCATTGTGGCTATAGTTGATGCTTTCTTGCCATTCTGTGGCAATAAGGAGAATACTTTAACTCTGCCCACCCTCTCCTGGAGGCAGGAAGGGTTGAGGAAACAGATGTATGCTCTGCCTAGGGTAGAAGCATGTTGTAGCAGTACTCACCCAGATGACTAAAGAACAGAGGGAATTGAGTGTATTTGTGTATGTAGGGGTGTGGGAGCTGTACCAAGCATGAAGGAAAAGTGACTAGAATCCATCTGGGGCTTGTTCTGACCTCCTAGAAGTCACTTTGGGTTGGGACTGGGACTACTGAAAATTCTTCACTGTGGGGGAAGGCTGAGATAACTTTTATATCTATTCATAAGGGGATCTAACATCAAAAAGGGGAGAGTCAGAATGTGAGCAATAAGGAATGAGGAAAAAAAGCCTGAAATTCCCAAAGACCTCAGGAAGAAAAAACTCAGTTAAAAACAGCACAAGCGGATGAATCAATAGGAAAGATTGGAAAGGAAAGGCTTTTTGTTGTTGTTGTTCAGTTGTTTTTCAATTATGTCTGACTCTTTATGACTCCATTTGGAGTTTTCTTGACAAAGATTCTGGAATGGTTTGCCACTTCCTTCTCCAGTTCATTTTACAGATGACTAACTGAGGCAAACAGGGTTAAGTGCCTTGCCCAGGGTCATATGGCTAGTAAGTGTCTAAGGCTGGATTTGAATTCATGAAGATGTCTTCCTGATTCCAAGCCTGGTGTTCCATCCACTGTACCACCTAGCTGCCTTCACCAAGGCATTTAAACAAGTTCAAATATATCTAAATAAATATTAGTGGACAAAGGAAACTGAGCTATGAGATGAGGCAGAGGACCCTGTGGAATCCCAAGAGACCTTGAAACCACAGCAGTATATTCCTGAATTTTTTAATAGAAAAACAGGAATCTTGAAAAACAGAATTTATGGCCTTGACCTGTACAGCAGAAATAATTAGCAGAATATAAAAACTTTAATCCTGAGTCTCTCCAAGGAAGTGAGAGAACAACAGATTGGGAATATAAAAATACTGAAGCAGAAGGCAACCTGGAAGAAGCAAAAAAAGCAATATTGTTTTTAAAATATTATATATATATATAGTATTATATATATGTGTATATATACACACACACACACACACACACACACACACACACACACAAGCATATTATTCTCTTTGTCAGAATGTGGAGAGACAACTTACAAATTATAATTCTCCCAGAATACAATAAGACAAAAAAGCCTAACCACCATAATGCAAGAAACAATACAAGAAAACTGCCCAGAACTTTTGAGTACAGAAAATAAATTGCCAACTGAAAAAACCTCTGGATTGCTTCCAAGAAAACAAGGCAAAACAAAATCAAACCAAACAGCTATCATGCAAACCTGAAGACATAGAATGATTAAATTTAATAATTCAAATGACAAATTCTACAAGCAACCAAGAAAAGGACATTCAGATATAAAGGAAAGGAAATTCGAATAACAAAAGGTGCCAGTTGAAAACCACTGAATGGAATAGTGTTTCAAAGAGCAAAGAAACTGAGGATGCAACCCAAAGTGATACATGCTGCAAATTTGAGCCTCCATGTCAATGTAAAAAGAAAGACATTCTGTGAAAGTCATTTCTAACATTCCTACCAAAAAAAAAAACCGAGCAGATTATTTACTTTACAAATGCTTAGGATCATAAAACATAAGAAAGGTAAATAAATACACAAATAACAAACACAAATGCAGGATTTGTGTATGGGAAAACACAAATAAAATAAATTACCTTCTAGAGACTTTTGAAAGGGGAAGAAATCTAGAAAAAGAAAAACAACTATGGGTTTAAAAAAAAGCAACAAACACTGAAAGGACCATTGAGAAGTTTTCTTGCTTTTTGTTTTTTGTTTTTCTAAAAATATACAAGATCAAAGCTGAATTTGAATAAAAGTGAGGAACGAGCCTGAAATGCTATCATCAGAATAATTTACTAATAACCACATGACCTCACTATAAGTGCATCAATGTGTTTTGTGGTACTAAACTGTAGAATGGGAGTGCACATGAAATGGTAAAGGTGAGATAGAAGACGGAGGGGAACATGTGATATACTCTAATCGAATCAATAATAAAAACTGAAGAAGAGAAAATAAGAATACATCTCCTTAAGATAGTTGCGAAAGGTATATGATCTCTTCTAATTGTTTTTGGCATAATCTTTAAATATTAATGTCGCATATCCATTTTGAATTTATTGTTGAATATGGTATAAGATGTTGATCTAAACCTAATTTTTGCCAGACTGTTTTGAGGTTTTCCCAGCATTTTTTATCAAATGTGGAGTTCTTTCCTAAATAACTTATGTTTTCAGGTTTATTGAATGTTGAGTTATTGAGTTCCACTGATTCTGATTCTACCTTGTCCTAGCCTGTTTTCTCAATCTACTTCTCAATCTCTTATCCAATACCAAATGGTTATGATGGCTACTGCTTTATAATATAGTTTGAGGCCAGGAAGTCCCTTCTTTTATTTAATAAAATTAAATAAAGTTATTTTTCTTAGACTTATGACTAAAATGTGATGTAGAGTATTTATATTTTTCTAAAAAATAATTGTAAGGTGAGCTCTGGCCTTGGAGTCAGGAGGACCTGAGTTCAAATCTGGCCTTAGACACTTGACACTTACTAGCTGTGACCTTGGGCAAGTCACTTAACCCGGATTGCCTCACCAAAAAGAAAAAAAAAGTAAAGTAAAGCCCCAGAGCTACCTTAATTTTCATTTCTTTTATTTTTGGAGCAGGCTTTCTTATGGTTGTTGAACATTTATATTTCTTCTTCTTCTTAAAACACTTATTTAGAATTCTTTGAGCAGTCATCTATTAGAAAATGGCTCTCGGTTTGATATATTTATATCAATAGCCTATATATTTTGGATATCATACTTTTATCATAGACCACAGCACTAGAATGGACATCAGATGCCATCTAGTCTATCCCATTTCACAGATGAAAAAACTGAGACCCAGAAAGACTTAATAATTTGTCTGAGATATGTGATGCAAAGATTTTTTTCCCCCTAATAATTTCTCTCTGTGTTAGTTTTGGTCATGCAAAAGTTTTAAAGTTTTATGTAGTTGAAATTATTAATTTTTTTCTTTTATGATTACCTATATCCCCTTTTGGTTAAGAATTCTTCCTCTCTATTCACAGCCATAGTTGTGAATGGTATCTTCTTTCATTATACTACAATTTTTATATGGTCTTTTATATTTAAGTCACCTATTCGTTTGAAACTTAACTGTGGTATACAGTATAAGTTGCTAGTCTAAGTCTAATCTCTTCCCATCTGTTTTGCAGTTTCTTAGCAGTTCTTTTCAAACTCTTCCCCCAGGGGTTTGTATTCTTGTGTTTATCAAACACTGGACTACTGTGTTCCTAGAGAAAGGGTTGTTTTGATTAAGTCATGGAAGATGAATTTTGATAAACATGGATAGTGATTGGGGGAAAAGACTGGCCCAGGGCCACTGGGCACCACAAAAAGATCCAAGAGAGAAATCACTCATACATATACAATTTCTATAGTGGAACTTTTAACTGCAGCAAAGAACCAAAAGCAAAGTGGGCCCCCACGAAGCGGAAAGTAGTAAACCAACGCGGTTGAAGAAGTTGTCAGGGTTTCACATACAATCCTCTTTTTCAATTTTCTTTTGTTTATGAAAATGCTTGTATTTGTCAATGTTTGCTAAGAATAACAACAACAACAACAAAAATTGTTCTTAAATCTGAGGTTCCGCTTCACACCCATCATTTTGCAAAGATGACAAAAAGCAGAAAATGACAATTGTTGGAGGGCCTGTAGAAAGACAAGAACTTTGATGGAGCTGTAAATTGGTTTAACCATTCTGGAAAACAATTTGGAACTATAACCCCCCAAATCACTAAACTACACATGTTTTTTGACCAAGTAATGCCACTGCTGGTACCAGAAAGAGATGAAAGAAAGAGGGAAATCACCCATACATATAAAATTTTTATAGTAAAACTCTTCATTGAAGCAAAACCCTGGAAGCAAAGTGGGCACCCACCAAATGGGAAATGACTGAAGAAATCATGGTATATAAGTGTAGCAAAATATGTTGGAAGAAATGTCAAAAAGGATGGATCCAGAAGAACTTGGGAAGACTGATGTGAATTAATGCAGAGTGAAATGAGAAGAACCATGTCTAACACGGTAGTTAATAGGCTCTACTCTGCTGAGACCACAGGGGCTTGTGACCTACCCCAATCCCTGTCTTTTACCTGCCTTTGAGGTCTGCACATTCATTGGCTCCTTATCCCCACCTCAACTTCCTGGAGAAAGTTGCTAATAACAGAATATTGCCTTTGACCTCTAGTCTAGGATTTCCCCAAAGAAGGGAGAAAGTAAAAAAGGTAATCAATATACAAACATGAATCAGATATGGAATGGATAGTTTATTCCCACACAAAAAAAAATGCAATAAAGAATCATAGAAATTCTGGAGTCAATCAGTCAACTAGCATTTATTTAGGCAACTATTACATGCCAAGAACTATGCTAAGAACTGAGGATACAAAGAAAGGCAAATGATGGTCCCTGTTCTCAAGAAGCTTACGGTCTAATTGGGGACAGAAAATGCAAACCACTTCATACAAGACATACGCAGGATAATTTGGAAATCATCAACAGAACTTCAGAAGGCACCAGCTTTAAGGGTGATCACAAAAGTCTTCTTACAGAAGAGGGGGCTTTAGTTGAGGCTTAGAGGAAGCTAAGGAAGCTAGAGGAAGGAGAAAGGAAATTCTAGGCAGTGAAAATTCTTGGAGTCAGGATGTGGAAAGTCAGTGAGAGGAGTAACAAGGAGGTCAATGTCACTGGATCCCAGAGTATGTCGGGGCTAGCGAGGAGGTGGGGAAGAATAAGGTGTAAGACTGGAAAAGTAGGAAGAGAAGAAGTTATAAAGGGCTTTATAAGCCAAATGGAAGATTTTTTTTTTTGATCTTGGAGGCAATAGAGAGCCATGGGAGTTGATTGAATGAGCAAATGAGGTAACATGGTCAGACTTGCACTTTAAGATAAATTTAACAGTCGAGTGGAGTGAGTGGGGAGTTACTTCCTATCTCCTCAGGAGCTACTTTAAGAGAGCCATTTCTTCTCCTGGTAGGCTTGGCACTTCCTGTCCTAGGCTCCAGCACAGCAACCAAAGTGGGTGGGAAGACTCAAACCCACAATGACACTTGCCTAGCCAGAGGCAGGCAGATGATATCTGTGCTTACTGAAGTTTCCATATGGTCCCTCAAGAGAAGGCAGAGAACACCTGCACATGCCCCAAAGGAAAGAGTGGGCAGAACTGTTACATACAATAGCTACAACAATACAAAGAAGAGCAAATTGGAAATACCCCGAAACTCTGATCAAGGCAATAACCAGCTACAACTCCAGAGAACCAGCAAATGAATCATGCTACCTACCCACTGGCTGGCAAAAAGGTGGAGGACTAAAGGAAGGTGCACATGTGCGGCCAGTGTGTGGATCCTCTTTGTTTGTCTGGGAGTATTTAGTACAAAGGGGTTTTTTTGTTTGTTTGTTCTGTTTTTATGGGAACAAGGAATCTGGAAAGGAGAGGGAATAGTGAAAGTAGTGCTACCAAAAAAAAAAAAAAGAAAAACAAAAGAAGGCCATTATGGCATTTTTAAAATTGATTTTGAAAATAGTATAAAAATAGCAGTAGATTAAGGAGACACAGAGATGCAGGACTTTTTTGGAACTAGTGGATAGAGTGTATTATATAACTTTTTAAAAGAAATTCAAGCTCTAAGTAATTGAGAGATGGGATTTCATAGGTGATCCTTTTTTTTTCCCTGCAAATGTTCATGTTTGTCAAGGTTAAGACTAAGAAAAAGAATAGGTAATTAGAAGACAAGTCAAGAACAATGAATGCCAAGCTAAGGAATTATTATTCATCTCTTTTTCTAGATGAGGAAACTAAGACACAGAGAAGTCAAGGGGTTTTATTCAAAGTCACACAAAAGGTAAGCGTTAAAATCAGCACTGTGGTCCCTAATCAAGGGAACTTCCTTTTTAAAACTTCGATGTTATTTTCAGTTCTGAATTCTCTCCTTCGCCCACCCCTCCCCTGTCAAATACAATGAGGTAAGAAAAACAAAACCCATTACAAATATGTATAATCATGAAAAGCAAATTCCTGCATTACCCATGTCCAAAAAGAAAAAAAAAGGAAGAGAAGAAAATACACTTCAATTTGCATTTTGAGTCTATCCATTCTCTATCTGTAGGTAGATAGCGTATTTCACCATGCATGAATCCTTTGGAATTACAGTTTGTCATTGTACTGATCAGAGTTTCTAAGCCTTTCAAAGTTGATTTTCTTCACTATGTTACTGTTGTATAGATTGTTCTCTTGCTTCTGCTCGCTTCACTTTGCATCAGCTTATGCAGGTCTTCCCAGGCTTTTCTGGAACCCTCTCCATCATTTTTTATAGCACAATAGTGTTCTATCCCATTTCATTCATGAGGGATGTATGCTTTTTAACTGTGGGTGCTCCTTGGGGCTTTGTCCTCAGCTTTCTTCTCCCACTTTACTAATTTACGTGGTGACCTCATCAGCTACCATGGATTTAATGACCATCTCTGTGCTGATAATTCTTAAATCTACTTATCCTGCCCCAAACTTTCTGCTGACCTCTAATCTCACATCTCCAAATGCCTTTCAGACATCTCAATCTGGAAGTTCAGTAGACATCTTAAACTCAATATGTCCAAAACAGAACCATTATCTTTCCTCTGAATCTTCCCCTGCTTCCTACCTTCCCTATTACCATAGAGGGCAACACCATTCTCCCAGTCCCTCATGCTTGATAACTAGGCATTATCCTCAACTCCTAATTGTCTCTCACAGCCCCCGATCCCATATCCAATCTGTTGCCAAGATATGTTGATTTCGCCTTTGCAACATCTCTCCAATATGCCTCCTTCTCTCTTCTGATACTGCCACTACCCTGGTGCAGGCTCTGACCACCTCATGCATTATTACAATGCACTGCTGGGAGGTGAGCCTGCCTCAAGTCTCTCCCCAATCAATTCCATCCCCCAGCCATTAAAGCAATTTTTCTTAAAGCTTGTCTAATCACATCACCTACCCACCCTCAGTAAATTCCAGTGGCTTCCTGTTGCCTTCAGGAGCAAATACGAAATGCTTTGTTTGGCATTCAAAGCCTTTCATAACCTGGCCCCTCCTACTTTTCCAGTTTTCTTACACCTTACTCCCCAACACATACTCTTCCATTCAATGACACTGGCCTCCTGGCTGTTCCACAAACAAGATACTCCCCATCTCTCATTATGGGAGTTTTCTTTCACTGTCCCCATACCTGGAATGTTCTCCTCCTCTGTCCTCTGCTCAGACTGCTGGCTTCCCTGGCTTCCTTTAAGTCACTAAAATCCCACCTTCTACAGGAAACCTTTCACAACTCCTCTTAATTCCAGTTTCTAACCTCTGTTAATTATCTATTTATTTATCCTGTATATAACTTTATTTGCATGTATCTGTTTGCATGTTGTCTCCCCCACTTGAAGACAGGGACTGTCTTTTGCCTCTTTTTTACTTCTGGTGCTTAGCAATGCTTAGCATGTAGTAGGCACTTAATAAATGTTGATTGATTAATTGATATTCTGGACCTTTTGTTCATTTAGATGAATTTATAATTTTTTTAGCTCTATAAAGTAATTCTTTGGAGGTTTCATTATTATGGCACTGAATAAGTAAATTAATTTAGGTGGTATTGTTATTTCTATTATATTAATCTAGCCTATCTAAGAGCAATTACTATATCTCCAATTATTATATTTCCAACTATTTAGATCTGTCTTTATTTGTGAGAAGAATGTCTTGTAATTGTATTCAAATAGCTAGTCCCTGTGTGTGTCTTGGCAGGTACACTTCCATTTTATACATCCATAGTTATCTTAAATGGAATTTCTCTTTTTTTTCCTCTTCCTGATAGATTTTGATGTTAATATGCAGAAATGCAGATGATGTGTGTGGCTTTATTTTTTTTCATCTTACAACTAGGGTTCTCAGAACAAACCATTATATCACCTGAAAAAGTGATAATTTTGGTTCCTCTTTGTCTATCCTTATTCTTTCAATTTCTTTCTTTCTCTTTCTTTCTTTCTTTCTTTTTGTCTTAATCCTATAACTAGCATTTCAAATACAATATTGAATAGTAGTGGTAAAAATAGACATCCTCCTGATCTTATTAGAAAAGTTTCTAGTTTATTTCCATTACAAATAATGCTTGCTCTTGGTTTCAGATAAGTATTACCATTTTAAGGAAAGCTCCATTCATTCCTATGGTTTCTAGTGTTTTGAACAGGGATGAGTATTTTGTTTCATCAAAAACTTTTTCTGTATTTACTGAAATAATCTATGATTTTTGTTGGCTTTGTTATTAATATGTTCAATTATGTTTATGGTTTTCCTAATATTGAATCAGTCTTGAATTCCTGGTATAAAGCCAACCTGGTCATAGTGTGTGATCTTTGTGTATATAATATATTAAAATTTTTGTATCAGTATTTATTAGGAAAATTAGTCTATTGTTTTCTTTGGCTGTTTTAACTTTCCTTGGTTTAGGTATCAAGACCATATCTGCATCATAGAAGCAATTTGGTTGGATCCCTTCTTGATCTATTTTCTCACAATTTATGTAGTACTGGAATTAATTGTTCTTTAAATGCTTGGTAGAATTCAGTTGTAAATCCATTGGGTCCTGGGGTTTTTTCTCTTTGGGAGTTCATTTATGGCTAGTTTAATTTCTTTTTCTAAAAGAGGGTTATTTAAATATTTTATTTCCTGTTCAGTTAATCTGGAAAATTAATGTTTCTGTAAACATTCATGCATTTCATTTAGATTGTCAGATGTATTGGCATATAATTGAACAAAAGAGCCCCAAATAATTGCTTTTATTTCTTCCTCATTGGTTCTGAATTCATCTTTTACATTTTTATATTAGTAATTTGGCTTTTTCTTTTTAACATAAAATTAGCCAATGTTTACCTATTCTGTTAATCTTTTTTTCAAAAAAACAACTCAGTTTTATTTATTAATTCAGTGATTTTTCTAACTTCCAGTTTTGTTAATTTCTCCTTCTATTTTGGTGTCTAATTGGAAGGGGAGTTAATTTATTGGTTTTCTAGTTTTTCTTTTTAATTACATGCCTAATTCATTGATCTGCTTTTTCTGCCTTTTATTGATGAAAGAATTGAAAGATATAAAATTTCCCTTAGGTACTACTTTGGCTGCATCACATAAATCTTGGCATGTTTTTTCATTGTTGTCATAATCTTTAATGAAATTATTGTTTCTCTAATTTGTTCTTTGACCTACCAATTTTTTAGGATCAAGTTATTTAACTGCCAATTAATTTTTACTCTTTGTTTCAAAGGTCCTTTACTGAATATTATTTTTATTGCATTATGGTCAATAAAATATATACTTAATGTGTCTACTTTTCTGTATTTATTTTGAGTATTTATGCCCTAATACATGGTCAATTTTTGTGAAGATGTCACACACAGCTGAAATGATAGATACACTCCTTTCTATCACAAATTAGTATTGTCCAGAAAGCTATCATATCTAACTTGTCTAAAATTCTATCCACATTCTTATCTTCTTTCTTATTTATTTTTTGGTTAGATTTATCTAGGTCTAAGATAGGTAAATTGAGGTTCCCCCATTGCTGGAGTTTTACTGTATCTTTCTGTAATTCATTTAGCTTTTTCTTTAAGTATTTAGATGCTATGCTATTTGGTACATATATATTTAGTATTGCTATTGGTAGAAATTTTCCTATGTGTCTGATTAAACAGTTCATTAAAAACCTGTGCCTTTTCCATGGTCATTTTTTCCCATTTGCCTTGAAGTCTCCTCCATGAGTTCATGTCCTCCCATTCTTCTGAGTGACAGTTGCCTTTAAAGGCAATTCACTTTCTCTTGAGTTCCATAATCTCTTAATTGTCAAATCAATGGCCTTACTAAATCTACATATCTCTTTACCACTCTGCAGTGTTTGACACTGTTAATTACCCTCTTCCTGGTTCTCCTCCTATCTGTCTGACTACTCCTTCTCCATCTCCTTTGCTGAACCTTCATCCATGTCTTACCTACTAACTGTGGCTGTTCTCCAAGGCTCTGTCATGGGCCCTCTTCTATTTTTCCTCCATACGTTGTCACTTGGCTATCTCAACAGTTTTCATGAGTTCAGCTATTGTGTTTCCGCAGATGACTTCCAGATCTATAAACCTGCCATTTTGGTTACACAGCTAGTAAGGGACAGAACTGGGACTAGAACCCATACCTTTTGCTCATGTTCTTTCCACTCCATATGCTTTTCCTAAAGGTAACATGAATAATTATGGTTGTTAATATTACTGCTAACAAGAGCTCACATTTCTATGGCCCTTCAAGGTTTACACATGCTTTTTTTCCCCCCATAAGAGCCCTGTGAAGAAATAATAATGGTAGCTGATATTTATTTAGTGCTGTCAAGTTTACAAAGCACTTAATATAAATTATCTCATTCGCTCCTCACTACAACTCTGGAAGGTAGGTGCTATTATTATCCCCATTTTATAGTTGAAGAAACTGAGGCAAACAGAGGTTAATTGACTCACCCAAGGGTCACACAGCTAGTATGTATCTGAGGCTAGATTTGAAATTAGATCTTCCTGAGTCCAGTTCCAATGATCTATCCACTGTGCCACCTAGCTATCTTTAAAAAAAAAAAAAGGATTGGGGCAGCTAGGTGGTACAGTGGATAGAGCACCAGCCCTGAAGTCAGGAGGACCTGAGTTCAAATGTGGCCTCAGACCAAACACTTGACACTTACTAGCTGTGTGACCCTAGGCAAGTCACTTAACCCCATTGCCTAAAAATAAAATAAAATAAAATAAAATAAATAAATAAATAAATAAATTAAAAGGATTAAGTGACCTGAGAATAGAGATTGTTTATTCCATTATTTGCCTTTTTCTCCCTAAGATCTTGCACAGTGCCTGATACATGTTTGGTGCTTAATGCTTGCTGATTGATTGAATATGTAGTCATTAGCTGTGGGAACAGGGTCTCAAAACCAAGTCTGCTAACCTCAAGGCCTCATGTCCATCCACTTCACGCTTCCTCATTGTCACTTCCTTTGCTGTGGTAATAATGGTTTCAGTGAGGTTTTTTTTGCTTCATTTCTTCCTTGCTTTACTTCCTAGGAAACCTTTTGACAGGATGTCAGGATCAGGACTATATAAAGTAGATGATGGATGTCATTATCTCACCAACTGCTTTCCAGCTAGAAGCATATTCAGGTCAAGACATGAAGGTAATGTAAATTCCTTAACCATGGAAGATTCTAGGCTACAATGATTCCTTCTTCTCTCTGTTCTACCCCCATTGCCAGTGGATCAACAAGCCCTCTCCATCCCTTGTAGTTATGATGTCACAAGTTTACCACAAGGATCAATCCTGGAATCTCAGAGTTTGAAGGAGACTCAGAAGCCATTTAGTCCAGTTTATACCTGAACAGGAATCCATTCTACAACCTTCCAAACAAGTAATCTGCCTTTGCTTGAAGAGTTCCATTGGTAGAAGGCTGACTATCATTTAAGGCAGACTATTTCATTTTGAGGCAATTTTAATTGTTAGTTTTTTCCACATATTGAGCCAGAAATTGCTCCCCCAGCTCCCATCCCCTAACATTAGCTCTATCCTCTTGAAATCAACCCTAACAAATATAATTTATCTTCCAATGTAAATGTAAAAGGAACTATCTAGAACCAGTTCTTTTCCACAGAATTACCCTTTAATCTTCCCTTCCTACGGCGAAATGGTTTTCGTATACTTCACATCTTGTATACTCTCCTTTGGATAGGCTCTAACTTGTCAATGTCCTTCCTAAAATGTGACCCCACAACTAAATAGCATACTGCAGATGGAGTCTGACCATGGTCAGAGATGTACAGGATTATTAGCTCCCTCCGTATTATGGACATTATACTTCTCTTAACATATCCTAAAATTGAATTAGTATTTTTTTTGGCTGCCACATCACACTATTGGTTCATATTAAGCTTATGGTCCACTTACTTTACCAGATCTTTTTTCATATTATCTGCTGTACTTGTACAGTTGGTTTTCAAATATCAAATTAGACAATGTATGTTTGGCATTTAAATGTATATGTATATTGGCATTTAAAGTTCTTTACCACTGGCACCTTCCTGCCTTTCCAGTCTTCTTATACTTTCTTCCCCTCCATACACTGTATAATCTATCTATACTGGTCTACTTACTGTTCCCCACACATGGCACTCCATCTTCTATCTCTATGTCTTTGCCTTGGCTTTCCCTCTCCTAGAATGCAATCTCTTCTCACCTCCATCTATTAGAATCCCTTACTTCCAGACTCAGCTCAAATGCCACCTTTTTCAAGAATATGGATAGTCAGGGCAGTTAGGTGGCACAGTGGATAGAGCACCAGCCTTGAAATCAGGAGGACCTGAGTTCAAATCTGGCCTCAGACCAAACACTTGACACTTACTAGCTGTGTGACCCTGGGCAAGTCACTTAACCCCAATTGCCTAAAAACAAAAACAAAAAAGAAAAAAAAAGAATATGGATAGTCTACATATAACTATTGTTTGCTTTTATAACACAGCTCAGAGGGCTTATTGTATGTAACTCTCTGTTGGAGATTGATTACTCAATGTCCCACACTTGTGGGGGGGGGTGCAGCTGGAGCTGGTGGGAGAAGGACAAGAGAGAGATCCTAGTCAGGGGTGGGGAATCTGTAGCCCCACATGTGGCCCTCTAGGTCCTCAAGGGCAGCCCTTTGACTGAATCCAAACTTCCAATCCAATCCAATCCAAACTGAATCCAAACTTCACAGGACAATTCCTAAGGAGATTTGATCAAAGGGCCACACTTGAGGACCTAGAGGGCCACATGTGGCCTTGAAGCTGCAGGTTCCCCACCCCTGCTAGGTTTTTCTGGTTTGTAGCTTTAAGAGAGAAGCTTTCCATTCCACCTCTCTTGAGGTCACTGAAGAGAGGGGAAAAACCCTGGGAAGAAGTCAATATGTAAAGAAAGCTTCAGTTATATCCCCATTCCCAATTTACTACACTAGAGATTTTGGGAAATTTTCTCCTTGGATGAGATCTGGGTGTATGTGTATGTACTTATGTCTGTCTCTCTCCCTCCTCCTTCTCTTCCCTCCCTCTCCCTATTCTCTCAGTTGAGCTGTGATATCTCTCCCAAATGGGAGAGCTTGTAGTTCTGCTTCCAGGAGCCAAGATGGTGGAGTAAAAAGGTAGTTGGTCTCACTCTCCCCTATCAACCTCTGAAAACCCAGAAAATATCACCCCAGAAAAAAGCCCTGGAACAACTGAACTAGAAGAAAGATGGGAAGCAGCAGTCCAGCGGCCCAGCAAACGGGTCTCCCAGTGCCTCAGCAAAAATAAGGGAAGCAGCACTACACAGGGCCCCAGGCAGATAAGCACCCTGCAGCATTCATCTGAAAGGAGCCCAAGAAAGCAACCTAGAAGTCTTCCTAAAGCCCCAGCCTTGCTGATTCCACCCCAACACCAGGTAAGCTATCAGAACCCTACAGCCTCCAACTGTCAACAGGAAGAGATCCTGAAGCTCCAACACCTGGACCTCCGAATGCCTCAGTGAGGGGGTGGGGGGAAAAATGGTGGAAACCAGCTCAGAAAACCACCAGGTGCCTTGGCACTCTACCACAAAGGAATCTCCCAGTGCATTAGCAGAAACAAGGGAGGCGGCACTGCAAGGGGCCCCAGGCAGATAAACACCCTGCAGCACCCATCTAAAAGGAGCTGAAGAAAGCTAAAGGAAAGGAAAAGTAGGCAACCTAGAATTGCCTGAAAGTTCCAGCCTTGCTGATTCCAGCCCAATGTGAGGTAAGCTGCCAGAACCCTACAGCTTCCAATCACCAACATAAGAGGCCCCAGTGCACAAAGCCAGTGACCAAGACCTAGGCTCCCAACACAAGAAGCTTGGGTCAGTGCCCTCTTTTCCCTAGCAGGAGAGCTCAATCTCTTTAAAGGCCAGGGAATAAAGAAACACCATGAGTAAAAAGAAATGTACCATAGATTCATATTATGAGAAGAGTGAAGATCAAGACAGAAATTCTGAAGAGGACAACATTGTCAACAAACCCACATCTGCAAAGTCAAAAGGGAATATGAACTGGTCTTAAGCCCAAAAAGCCTAATTAGAAGAGCTTAAGAAGGATTTTAAAAGTCAAATGAGAGAGGTAGAAGAGTCCTTAAAAAATGCAATTGGCCAATTGGAAAAAAAGTACACTGAAGAAAACAAGTCCCTAAAAAACACAATTGGCCAATTGAAGAAGGAAGTACAAAAACTAACAGAAGAAAACAATCTGTTAAAAACTAGAATTGGACAAATGGAAACTAATGACTCTATGAGAGAGCAAGAATCAGTCAAACAGAAACAAAAAAATGAAAAAATAGATGAAAACGTAAAATACCTCATCGGTAAAACAACTGACCTGGAAAATCGATTCAGGAGAGACAATTTAAAAATTATTGGACTACCTGAAAATCATGATGAAAAAAAGAGCCTGGACAGTATCTTTCAGGAAATCATAAAGGAAAACTGCCCTGAAGTCCTAGAACTAGAAGGTAAAATAACCATAGAAAGAATACACCGCTCAACATCTGAAAGAGATCCAAATTGAAAACGCCAAGGAATATAATAGCAAAATTCCAAAATTACCAGATGAAAGAGAAGGTGCTGCAAGCAGCCAGAAAGAAACAATTTAAATATCATGGAATCACAGTCAGGATTACACAGGACCTTGCAGCTTCTACATTAAAAGACCACAGGGCATGGAACATGATATTCTGTAAGGCAAAGGAGCTTGGACTGCAGCCAAGGATCAACTACCCAGCAAAAATGAGCATCATTTTTCAAGGGAGGAGATGGATATTCAACAAAATAGGGGACTTCCAAACCTTCCTGATAAAAAGACCAGAGCTCAACAAAAAATGTGATCTTCAAGTACAAGACTCAAGAAAGACATAAAAAGGTAAATGGGACAGAAAGATACAATATGTTATTAATAAGGGTGGACTGTTTACATCCCTACAAGGGAAGATGATACTTGCAACTCTTGAGAACTGTATTGTTTAAAGTAATATACATAAAGAGGGTGGATATTAGTTGACTTTGATGTAATGATAAAAAAAATCTAATCAAGTGGGTTAAATGGATCCAAATAAGTGGATCAATCTAATCTTAGAAAAGTACTGAGAAAGGAGGAGGCAGACAAGGGTAAATTACATTACAGGAAAAGACACAAAATCCTATTACAGCAGAGGGAAAGAAGGGGGGGGAGCATTGTTTGAACCTTACTCTCATCAGATTTGGCTCAAGAAGGGCATAATATAATCAGTTAGGTATAGAAATCTAACTTGCCCTATAGGCAGTAGGAGGGAAAAGGGGAAAGAAAAGGGAGGGGGGAAAGAAGGGAGGGAAGCAGCAGTAGGGACTGAAGGAGGCGGTGGTCAAAAGCAAAACACTAGTGAAGGGGAGAAAGGAAAAAGGAGAAAGAAAAGCATAATGGGGGGAAAAGGATGGAGAAAAAGAAACAGATAGTAATCATAACTGTGAATGTGAATGGGATGAACTCTCCCATAAAACGGAAAGATTGCAGAATGGATTAAAAACCATAATCCTACAATATGTTGTTTACAGGAAACACATTTGAAAAAGAGTGACACATACAGGGTAAAGGTAAAAGGCTGGAGCAGAATATATTATGCTTCAGCTGAAGTAAAAAAAGCAGGGGTAGCAATCCTGATCTCAGACAAAGCAAAAGCAAAAATAGATCTAATCAAAAGAGATAAGGAAGGAAACTACATCCTGCTAAAAGGCACCATAGACAATGAAGTAATATCATTACTAAACATATATGCACCAAATGGTATAGCATCCAAATTCTTAGAGGAGAAGTTCAGGGAGTTACAGGAAGAAATAGACAGCAAAACTATACTAGTGGGGGACCTGAACCTCCCCCTTCTGCACTAGATAATCTAACCACAAAATAAACAAGAAAGAAGTTAAGGAGGTGAATAGAACATTAGAAAAGTTAGGTATGATAGACCTCTGGAGAAAACTGAATGGGGATAGAAAGGAATATACTTTTTTCTGCAGTACATGGCACATACACAAAAATTGACCATGTACTAGGGCATAAAAACCTCACAATCCAATGCAGAAAGGCAGAAATATTAAATGCATCCTTTTCAGATCATGATGCAATAAAAATTATATGTAATA